GTTTTTTCACTTACCAACACTACCCTTCCGGTCGCATAGTTTTTAACGGCTTAATTTATAAGCTACATGTAAGGGGGTTGTTCCTTTTTTAATCTATATATATTTGAATTCAGGGTATATAATAATAGAAAAAATATTACAATAGAGGTTTAAGAAAGTTTTAGTTTAAAAATATTTTGAAGATGGTTGAACAAATTTAAAACCTTATAAACAAAAGGAATCAATTATGTCCATCAAGTGAAATATCCCCTTATTACCTTTATTTTGACCTCATTAGTTTTTTAATAGGTTATATTGTTCAGAAGATAATAATATTTAAAAAAATAAAAAAATAAACTTTAACCATTGATATCTTCTTAATTTTTACTTTAGCCAAATAATTTTTGTAGGGTTGAAATCAACACAAAAAGTTCTATCGAGCCACCTTTTGGTTTTTGCATAGCTAGATTGCTGATATTCTACACTTATGTGGACGGAACGACCTGGGACTATTTCTGATTAAATCCTGCAGTACGGGAACAGACTAACTGTCGGCACATTGGTTGCAGGTTTGGATTATGAAAGACACAAACCAAATTCGATCCAGAACGGGTTGCATTGCATTTGGTTTGTGTCTTTGATAATCCGAACCTGCAATCAACTTGCTGACATTTACCCTGGCCTTCAGTAAGCGGTCTCTAGTCATTAATAGTGACTTTTGGTGGTAAACTTGGATTTTGAGAATATTTGGTATTCAGTACGCTTTCTCACGTCTCTAGTCTCAAAAATAAGTCACTAATTTGTCAGCTGGCTAAGAGTAGGTCACAAAAATAAAAATATGGAGGAAAGATAATTTCTTTCAATTTTATTAAAAACGCAAAAATGAAGCGAGGAAATTTATTCAACAACAATTTCATTAGGAAATAAACCAAAATTCTTTAATATCATACAAATCCATTGATAAAATAATAATTTTTTGTTTTTAAAACATTTAAATGTAAAGATTATTCAAAAAAATTAAATTAATAAAAACTCTACGCTTGAGGACGACTCGAATCCGGACCCTCTCGACCGGCAGCCTAATGCTTTGACCATTCGGCCATTGCGTCTCTTTTTTTGGCCGCGCGGGCAAAAGGCATACATAAACGCTATCAGTTGACTGTCTGTGTTTGTTTTCACCACACATATTTGGTGAACTTTTTGTGACTCTCTCCTACTGAATACCCAAATCATCTCAAGACGCAAAAATAGTCACTAATTGCTAATCTCAAATTTAGTGACTTGATATGAGACTGAATTACTGAATCCCAGGGTTAGTCTCTTCCCATACTGCAGGATTTTATTTGGCGAAAGTTAAAAATAATGAAGATATCAATGGTCAAAGTTAAATGTTTTAATTCTTTTAAATTACGTCAAAATGTAATTAGGGGGTACTTCACTTGGTGTGCTTAATTTTTTTTGTTTTTTTACACCCTTAGTTTTTTACAGAATACACCCCGCGACAAACGATAGCACATCAACATTTTTACACATCTGTCAAGTTAGTACTACGCTTTTCGAAATTGGAAAAGTTAACTATGGCATTAATTGTAGTGTTTTTGTTGTAAATTTGTTGTGGAAAGAAAAAATTTATTGCTCTAATTTTTTTAAATATATGGTATGTAGTGCTAACTTGACACCATACACCTAGTCGATAAAATTGAGATATTGATAATATTATAACTACATTTTGTTGTAGATTTGTTGTGGAAAGAAAAAATTTGTAGCTTACGTTTTTTAGGAAAAAATGGTAATTTACAACAAAAACACTACAATTAATGCCATAGTTAACTTTTCCAATTTCGAAATGTGTACCACTAACTTGACAGACGTGTAAAATGTTGATGTGCTATCGTTTGTCGCGGGGTGTATATTTTCAGAAAATTTTTGCAAAGTCCATGCTTTTTTGAATTGCCATAAAATTGTCGCACAATGTAGTAATTATAGTGATGGGCGAGTCCGAGATGTTTTAGTCGATTGTCTCGATTGTTCAAATATCTCGATTGTCCTCGATGTTTTCTCTCGTAGACGATTTGCCACCCGAAAAAAGTCGTGCTTAAGCTGAACTAACATATTCGTTAACAATCGACCAAGTCATCTCGGTCTCGCTGCTGGCGGTTGTTAGAACATCTCGATGGTTCTCTGTCGCAGTCTGTGGCAACGAATTGCCAGTCGCGTTTAACATTCTATAAAAATCGGTCAAAACATCTCGGACTAGCCTTTGGAAATTTTGGCAACCTCTCATACGAGGTTTTGCATTTTCTTGATACGCGATTTTGTTCTTTGAACGACGTTATGTACTTATATTTTAGGATTTTTTGCTGAAGTGGTTGCGGTTTTCTTCCATCTACAAGTAAATTATGTTTATTCGTTATATGAAAACAAATGCGACAAGAAAAATTCTAAAACAACAGTAGTTTTTGGCCATTTAAAACTTTATTATACCAAAATTAAAGGAGCTGAAATTCCCCACAAAAAACGGTCCATTCCCCGATTCCCCACGCAAACTGAAATTCCCAGCAAATCGGAGAATTCCCCACGAATTGGCTCCCCTGGTTCACACGATCTCGTCAGTGATAAGTCAGTCGACTCGAAACAATCGAAAAACATCTCGATTGTACAGTCGGGCAGCGAGTTGATTATTGACTCGATTGTAATTTTGCAACGATAGCGATTCTCTCGATCGTTTAAACATCTCGGACTCGCCGATCACTAAGTAATTATCAATATTTTGATTTTTATCCAGGTTGGGGTGATTGGCTCATTGAGAAGATTAGGAATCAAGAACGATCATCGTGTGCATACCAGTTCGCTGGTCATTATGTTACTACTGACGAATCATCTGGAAGAAGTTCTGGGGGCTGTAAATGTGGTGGCAGTATCAAATGTGATATCAAGAGGACCGAGAACAATATTGTAGAAATAAGATGTAATGCTATTTAAAGGCCTGGACAATGCGGCAAGAGGCAACTAAAGAGAGAAACGAGAAAAATATTATCACAGCGATTACGAGGAAAATCTGTTTATGCTGTATGCAAGTTAACGACAAATTTGTAGCTAAAAATTCAACATGTCAAGTCCCTATTGCACGAATGTTGAGTGCATGGCATACAACGGCGGCCGTCCAATTCTGGCTGACGACATGGCGACAAGGGAGGTGGTGACCGATAGATCCTTGGCTCTTATGGTGGCTTATGTCATAGCCTTTACTAGAGAGAGACCCGTCATTGAGTACGCTGATGTCTTCTTTAAAGAGCTTCCTGTGGTGCTACCTACTTGCTCTTTTTTGAAGAATTAACGCGATTTATTGGATAACGTCGGGAGGTCCGTGAAGCAATTTTATTTAGCTGGATTGTTAAAGGTCACAAGATGTGAAAAGCGCCAAGAACCAGGGTTTAAAAGGGTAAATAACATCAAGTTAGGGAGATCCATATCCTTATTTAACGAATCTTTAAATCAATAAATAATTTTTTTTTGTTTTTAGTTCTTATTGTAATAAGTTTTTTTTAACTACAATTTTATTACTCATTAGGTTTGTTTTTAGGAAAGGTGTATATTTCCGTTTTCTTTTTGTTTAAAAAAAATAACCTTGAAGCTATCTTTGGAGGTCTAATAGTCTTTTGCAATGAAACCGAAACATCAGCAATATCAACATTAACAACACTCATTGCAAAAGAATATTAGACCTCCAATGATAGCTAAAAGGTTAGTCCTTTTATTAAAACAAAAAAAAGGACATGTGTGTAAAAAATAAACCTAATGAGTAATAAAATTATAGTTAAAAAAACAACAACACGCTTTTATTACAATAAGAACTAAAAAGAAAAAAAGTTTTTATTGATTTAAAGATTCGTTAAATAAAGATATGAAGTTCCCTAACTTGATGTTCTTTAACCTTTTAAACTAGCTTAAAATATGACTAAAGTAATTGGCAAAGCTAAAATCATTTATTCATATTGTTTTTGTGTTTTACACACCTTTCTCCTTTCAAGAATATACAATTTCATAAAATTTCAATTTCTATTTATCATATTGCTCGAGCGTTAGACGATCTAGATCCAAAGGCATAAGTAGCCCATTACGCCCATTTGGGTACTTAATGTTAACATTATAGACAATGTTTTTATGTAAAAATAAAAATTTCTAAAAATTCTATAATAAAAAAAAACAAAAAGAAAAATATTTACTTTTTTTATACGTTGCACATTAATGTAAAAAATGTAAGATTAAATTAATAAGACGAAAGAAATACATTTTTTATCATTAAGTTTCTTTAAAAGGTTTCCAAGATACAGCACTTTAAAGAAAGGTATGTTCGACGTTTTCTTAAAATTAAA